GACAGACAGACAGACAGACAGACAGACAGACAGACAGACAGACAGACAGACAGACAGACAGACAGACAGACAGACAGACAGAAAACATTACCTCGTTGTCGGAGGTAACAACACAGGACTGCTAAAAACTGTGAAAGAGTTTAACTCTCTGTTGATGCGAGGAGCAGCCATGTTGAAATGATGACGTAATGCAGGCTCTGGCTCCATTTCTTTAGCACAAACTAGTTCAGAGGTTCTCAAAGTGATGGGCGTGGGGTCAGTTTTGTTCAACACCTACATATTTATTTTTTCCTCTCGGGAACTTCATGTTGTATTTGCATTTTGCAAATGGAAACATTTTTTGAAAATTTTTTTATGAAAAACAATGTTGAATGTTGTCACACAGTGGCAAATAGTTACACTTAAAATGGTGACACTATAAAGGTGTTTTGTTGTTTTGTTATTTTAAAGAGGCCATGGTTTATTTTATTTCAAACTGTATTTTGTTTCAAGTTTACCTTTATTGCTTCAGTTGTTCAAATGAAATGTTAGAAAGAAGATTGGGCCAAACTTCTACAGAAAACTCCTAATGTGAACTATTGTTGATAGGAGGTTGTACAATCTGTTGGATTAGAGGCTGGTGGCAGCCTTTCCATTTAGATTTAATGTTTACTAAATAAATATTGGCGTACGTATGTTATTGTTAATGTGAGCAGACATCTAAATTCTGGTTTATTATATCCTGACACCGGTAAACCTGGAAATACTGTAGATCAAGTGTATTCTTTCTTATTTAATCATTGTTTCTGGTACTAAACTAGTGTTTATAATGAACAAAAATGAACTTTTTTCTACTGTTTCAGGGACTTTGCAATCAAAATGACTGCTGCCCTTCAGGAGAACTCATCATCTCCTCTGCAGTCCATCAACCTGTCAGGCAATCCTATTGAAGACAAAGGTATGTCTTTTATTTTATATCCAAATTATAAAAGTGCATTGGATAGATAGATAGATAGATAGA